GATGATTTAGCTGGGAATTGGTCCTGCTTTGAGCAGGGGGTTGGACTAGATGACCTCTTGAGGTCCCTTCCAACTCTGATATTCTATGATTCTATGATTCTATGATTATATATTCACTCACATTCCTTTCCCACTCCATGCTCTCAGAGACCAGGGGTATCCTATTGAATGTTCCTTCACTTTCTGCATCATTCTCCCCATCTCTTCCCCGCTCCCCAGCCTTCTTCATCCCTATTGTCTTTAGTTTTGTTTTAAGTTGTATTAAATTAAAGTTTCCTATGGAGCTGTTTTTTGCCTTGAGAGAAGAAAGCCTGGTATTAGCCCTAATAAACATTGAAGTAGCTAGGTTTCACAAGAGTCAAAATTCAAACTTCTGCTGAACGGTAGAGCAGTTTTTAATTGTTAAGTAATATTCAGAGCTCTCTACTTATGACTGTAGAGCCCTTGAGAGGTATGATTATAACGGAACAGCTTGTCACTATGAATTAGCTCCATGACCTTGTAAAGTGTGCAGTAACTTATCTGTGCAAGTCATTGCATCACTTGCTTGTTGAATAACCCACTGCATAACTTAAATAAGTTACATGTACTAAAGGATATTGCAATGAAATCACCGAAACCTGCATTTCATTTCCTGAATAAAGTAATGCAGACTTTCATCTCTTTACCGCTGAAATGACTGTGTATATTATGGTTGAATATTTATCAGCCTGTTGTTAAAATGTCTAGCACAGATAGATTTAAGTTGAAAAAAGTTGTACTTTATATATTTACTATATGAGAAACATTCTTCAGAGAATATATGAAGTATAAGTGAGAAAAATGAGGAACTGTGCAAATGTGCAGAAGGCATCGTGGCAAACCAAGTAAAAGGAATAAGATTTTTTATTAAAATAGATTTGCAGCTCATGTAGACATACCCACGCAGGCTTTCATCTAGCTAGCTCACTAAAAATAGCACTGAGGTTTTGGTGGTACAGGCTTTAGTGTGGGTTGCACAAATGACTGTGTACCCAGGGTTCATAGAATAAGTAGTCTGAGTTAAGTGAAAAAGTAAAGGACCGAAACTGTAAAAGGTAAATTGGATTTTAAAATAATATTACACTGGTACAGAATACTGTACTTTACATACACTATTATAATATTTTGTTAAAGTCTTTTTTCTGTTGACTCAACTCAGGATTTATGTCTATTGGAACCCCCACCTCCACTCCAGAACAGTCTCACATGATAAAAAGTACAGTATTGTGTAGTTCTTATGGAATAAAGGGCACAGTAAGGGAAGTCTGTACAGCTTGTCTTGCAATATAGGAGAGCTATCTAATTGCAGACTTTAGCAACTATTTTAATCTAATCATTAAGTGAATCTGTCAAAGTCAGGTCAAAATGAGGTCACAGGAACTGTTGTTTTAGTGGTTTAGTTCTAAGAGTTAATCAAGTGTTTTCAAATACATATTATAAGAGAAGAAATGAACATTAAGAGAAGTTCATGTTCATTCACTTGGGAGAGGAAGTCATTAACCAAGTTTAATGTTAATGGTGGTGTAGTTGAAGACTAACTCTATTCCCTTTGCTACTGTTTTATAACACTGATGTTTTTTCTTTAGTTTTGTAAATAAGATGATTAATTTTCAGAGACTTAAAGGGTTTTTCTTTCCTTGCCTCACATTAATGTTAATGCAGATTTCATGGGTGTATGTCCAAGGTTGAATAGACCTCTGGATATGGACACAAGAGTGAGAATGTGTTGCGTAATTTTTTGGAAACTTGATCTTTACTATAGATGTGCATTTAGCATCTCAAGACAAATGAGATTGGTAGAAGATGGAAGGATTGGAAATAGTAATAAAAGTATCAGTGATGAATTAGTGGTTGTTGGCTTCTTATAATGGAGGATTCGGAAGGATACATGTCTAAATGGAAAGGTCTTGCTTCTTTGCTCCGTATATGATCTTGTACCAGCGAGCATGGTAGCTTCCTCCAAGTATTTTGGTAGCTTCCAGCAAGTGTGTACTCTGTGGGCAATCCCAGACCTTTTTGAACCTGATGGGTTCACTTCACTTGGGCAAAATGGAAAAAACAATTAAGCTCCATTATGTAGTAAAATAGCTGGAGCACTAGAAGTCACCACCTAAAGCACTGGCCAAATGAAAGGCCTGAGCAAAGAATTAACTTGGTGAGAATTAGAGGGTTTCACTGGGAACTGATTGCAAAAGCAGGGGCTGGGGTATTAATTTGATCTTAGCTGTGTGTATTAGGAAGAAGAAAGCAGCCAGAAAAGTAAGGACAAAGCCAGAGAAGCACTGATAGCATGACCCTGAGAGGAAGCTGAGAGAGAGAGATTATATTGGGCAGAGCTCTGTCTGGAAGGGAGGCTGATAGACAGCAAGGACACTACCTGCTCTGTTTGTCCATACTGTGTTCAGAGAAACAGATGTTTGTGTCCGTGTTTTGTAAATAAACAGGATTGCATGAAATAAATACCTGACTCTACCATCAATTTCTCCTCCTAATGGAAACATCCTGCAAGGCCTCAAATATTGGTCAACCATTCAGACCAAAAAGGGCAACCTATTGTACTGTTTAGTGTCTGGTCATATTTGGGTCTAGCTGGCTTACTTAACAAAGAATTGTTGCTTTACCTTGGCATGTATTACTGTTGTCCTTTGTGAAGTTGCTTTGCAGATTCCTAGTCCAGGAGTTACATGCCCTGCCATGCAAATCACAGAACCATGTAAAGCAGTAACGTCTCTAAGGGATAGGCAAGTGGAGATGGTGATTT